GGTCCTTTGGGGAGGGGGGGGGCGGAGACATATACCCATCCATATATCCCAGGGTTTTCTCTGCTGAGGCCTCGCGGTGCCTTGGCGTCCCGCTCTCGCATGGTGTGCATCATCATCACCACTCACTGGCGCTGCTGGCGCTGTGGAGCTGTGGAGATCCCCGGGAGATGGCAGACACCCCGCACACAACAAGGTCATCTTCGCCATCTTCGCATGCAACACCAGGAGCAGCCGCCAGTCGCCCGTGTGGCCGATTGGTTTAGTCGAAAACGTGACCCTACAACAAGAAGACCAAGGCTACGAGTAGATTTGCGAGACTATCTATGTTCCCTGTCGTGCAGTGCTAGAAGAGGAGGCGGCAAGGGCAAGTTTGCAAGGCAGGCGGTTCATTCAATGTGTGAAGCTGGTCAATGACCTGTTCCAATCGAATTGGACTGATTTCGTGCTTTGATCGATACTACTATTTATTCATGTACTCCTTTGGTTTGGTAGATATTAGGCGCTACGAGAACTAGGCTGCTTGTTTCCGTGTGTTCCTCCTGTAGTAGTAGCTCGGCTGGGTGAGTTTGGACCGGCATCGATGACGAGGACGTAGATGCAGAACGGGTAACAACGAGGAGAGTGAGGCACGTTTGCCATCCATCTACTACTGCAACCTCATATAGATGGTGTAATTTTCGACGATTCACTGTATTTTTTATTTTTTCGAATTTCTTCTCCCTCCAGAGCGGGGGGGGGTGGCCTATTTGCTATGTTTCCGGAGTTGTTTCCCGCGTGTACCCTTGAATGGGTAGTCTTGCTGTGTGTGTATTTAGTTTTCTTAATGATCTACCCTGCCTGGATCTGGGGATTCAGTTGCTTCAAGAATGGAGTTGACTGCCCGGGTCGCTGAACCTTGCAGAAAGTCGCTTGTTGCCTAAGATTCCCTGTGGCCTACTTCTCTAGAGGGAACACAGGTTCGCAGGGGTCATGTCCACGCGTCCAATGCTGCATGTCAAGTACCAAAGGCGTCTCACTCTGCGCATCCCCATTCGTGTATTGTTTGCGTATCCCCGATTTCTCGCCGCCATCCCCTGCCCTCGCTGCACCACCCGCACTTCCACTCTTGTCCGCACACACAATCATCAACACCCCACCAAGCCCCACCCCATCCACTCACACACCACCCTAGCACCATCATGGCTCGCAAGTTCCTGATCGGAGGAAACTGGAAGTGCAACGGAACCAGAGAGAATGTGGCAGCATTGGTGAGCGGAGACCGGTGCACGCGTCGCAAGATGCGAGATTGTTTCTCCTGTATTCTGCAAGTTGTGGTAGGCTTTGTCCAGCTGGGCAGGCAGCAGCAGTTGTAGCACCCGCTCGCCGCGTGCACGGCGAAGTGTGTGCTCTTGCGGTTGTTTGGCCCGGGGACGCCGTTGTTGGCCTGTAGCCGAATGCAAGAGTGCCCAAACCAGAGGTTGGCTGCTGTGTTCCGGCGGCGGCGGTGTGTCATCCTTGCGACGGCGCGTCGACGCCCATCACAGCAGCTGGTTGGACTCGATTGTTCTGGCATGATACGCCTGCCGACACTGGATACAGACCAGCACCGCAACACTGCAGGTGTCTACTTGTCTACTGCCGCAGCCCAGGTTGATGGCGAGGCTGGCATTGTTCGTTAAGCGCTGTGTGTAGTCCCAGCCAGTTGGCTCGCTTTGATACATGCTCCGCCGAAGAGGGACACAGCAGCCTGTTGATGGCTGTTGGGATGGGGACGGACCACGGTTTGGCGCTGACTGCATTTTCAACCAACGACCCCACAACCCTGATTCCCGTCACGCTGCACATCAGCGGTAGCAGTGCGAGCTTCATTCCCGTTAGTCTCTGCTTTTGAAGTGTTGTAGTGCGGGAGATGGGCATGGTTTCGCACCTGTGCGATAGGCGGTGTTTAACTCACCGCTCACCGCCCTCTGCGCATGCACAGCAGAGAGCAGAGGCTGCTCGCGCAATGCAAAGCACCAGCGCAACGGATGGAACGTGAGTCACGCAAACGACAGAAGAGACCGGCAGTTTAACCCGACATTGTACAGCAGCCACCTGCTGCGCATCGTTTGCCGGTTGGGTGATCGACGATGCCGGCATGGGTTTTGCACAGCGTGATGGCCGACATTCTTTCTCGACAATAGTGTCGTCACATACCCTTACGTTGTGTGCCATGAACCATGGAGTATCGCTACATGATGAGCATACGATCCGATCCGATCATGGATCAGCTGACGGATCACAACCGGTCAACTTCAGAGAGAGGTTCGTCCGCACATCCGCACATTTTTCGAAGTTCAGTTTCAGGTGTACAGACCGTTGGGATCGATCCTCCACAGGTTGTTCCGTTTTGCCCCGACATGCATATGTATGTGCTTGAAAAGCAAGTCGGCCCCGTTGCTTCATGTACGCGGCAGATGAGTGTCCCCAGATCTGTCGGTAGTTGGTTGTATCCGGAGGTTTGTTTTATCGTTCCTATCTATGCTCTCTACACCTGTTACGGAGTACTTTCTCCATTTTTGTCTTGACCTTAAATCAGCTCTCAAAATACGTGTGCCGGGTTTCCATGGTCACATCACACAGAAGGATTGCTCTCCCTGAGCCCCCCTACCCACCCCTCCCCCCCTACAGTACTCTTTACCTTCCATTTTCGTGGCATCGTCAATATTCCGAACTGGGCCAACTGCTGTCGCGGATTCCTGCACTCCTGCCACCTCGATCGCATCCACCCCGCGGGCACGCATCTTTCTGCACATTCTTCCATCTCCATCCGCATTCGGCCTTCCAGCCCTACTTTCCTCGGCCGCGGTTGTGGGCTCACACCTCGTATCACTGCTGTATTTTCTACAATACAAGAGTCAATCAATCCCCTGTCTAGGTAACGAACGTCGTCGATGTGTTGAGTCCTTCGCTGCCCAATCAGAGTAGACGAACGTAGTCGACTGGTCCCATCCCTCTTCATCCTTGTCCCGGAGATGGTGACATCATGATCCTCCCCTCTCTGCCCCCCCTACAATGTACACCATGGCACGCTCGCATTCCACGGCAGCCCCAGCCCTCTCTACCTTCACCATGGCTGCGAGAGCCCAGATGGCGCCAGGGATGTTTTGTCTTTGGTCAATTCCGCACAACATTTAGTTTCGTGTAATAATCAACAAGCGCTCTGGAGGCTCAAATTCTTGGCTGTCGAGTTGTTAGGAAGGCATATGCATATTGTAACTGCTGTGTACGCATTCCGACGTTTTTTCCGGCATAACCGCCGATTGGTGGCGGTGTTCGTTGTCCGAGTTCGGGGTGACCGGCATTGCGGCCCCAAGATGTGCGACAGGGCATGTGATGTGCATCCTGTGGTTGACGCAAGATACAACACCCCCTGAACCACGTGATTACTTCACGATGAAGAAGATGTGGTGTACTTCAAACGATGCGTTTTCGTATTGCCCTCGACGAGATGATTCGAACGCTGCCATATTCGGCACCGCCCACTCTGCTCTGCTGTGGAGTAATCGGGCTTTGAAAATCGGTCCAGGTGTAATATCTCAAGGCACCCCGTGCTGCAGGCACGCGCTAGAACGGCGCGCCCCGACACAGACGCACTATAGCACCAGCAACAAACAGCCGTATGCATCGATGTCTTGCGTTTGTTGGTGCGTCATATTGCCTACTGTAGGCACCTGGATTGTGGTGTTCTCTCACGAATTTTTCTCTTGTCGGTATTTCGTGATTGCTCTACTGCTGTACGTTCGTACAAGCTGAGTAGGCACCTTATCCAGGGAGCGCGAGATGACAGGTAGACGCCCACGTTCTGATTGATACGGCGGTGCTGGCCGAAGAATCAGAATGCTTGTGGACGATGTTGTTGTTGTTGTCTTCACATTAATAAATGGTAGTATTGTAGTGGAAAATTCGCCCTCTACATACCAATAAATGCTTGGTTTTTGCACCTCCTTTTCTTCTGTTTTCAGGTGGAGGTGCTTAACGAAGGAGGGGAATTCCCTGACAACGCCGAGGTGGTGGTGGCACCTCCCTCCATCTTCCTGCAGACCGTTAAGGATACGATCCGCCCCGACATCAAGGTAATGTTGATTTTTGAGTGGTTCGTTTCGTTTTTGTTGGGCAGGCGTTTGGGCAATGCTGCGTCGCGTACGACGCCAATGCGGTAGAGCCGAGTCTGAACAAACGGAAGGGTGAGCTTGGTTCGTTATTTACCGAAGTATGCCGATGGTCATGTGAGACAGACCGTCTTCGCGAGAAATTGGTTTTGTTAGGAAGTATAGAACAGAGAGGGGGTACGCAGACCCTATCCCTAACCCTACCGCTAACCCAACTTCCCCGATTGCATATTATATCAACCATGCTGTATTTTTTTTTTTGATGATGGTTCTTGCTTGACGTGGTTATTTTTTTGTATGGAGCGCACTCATGTCAAGCTGCTCCCACCCAACACTTCGTTAAAGGTTATACTACTCTCCAGCCGCACATGCTGGCGTGAACGGCGTGTGCAGGCGGTGGCTCATGTTTCAGGGCAGTTTTGACACGATATATATGCTGCCCTTGTTTCCTCAACCAAGTTCGTGTATTGTGCCGAATTTTTTTCCAGGTGTCCACCCAGAACGTTGGCAAGAACGTAAGGCCTGGAGCTTACACCGGCGAGCTCTGCGCTTCCATGATCAAAGACTTCGGGGTTGAGTGGGTGAGACGCGCAAGAATGAGCCACCGAAGCGCCGCACACTATAATAGCTTCAAACCATGCATCTGGACGGGTACCTAGCACGCGGTCTTTTAGCAGGGCGATGATTCTGATGTCCGGCAGTTTCAACAGGAAAGGTGTTGCGTGTGACCCGTTTGTCAAACCGCAGCCTGTTGTCCGCCTCGCCAACTGCCGGGGACGCTCTTTCTGCGCAGGACGATTTTTCTTATACGTGTGCATGCATCCGCGGGTGGTCGCTACATCGGCGTTCCGATCGAACTTCTGCCTGTTCACGAGCATTCCCGACTATTTACATACCTTACTGTTTGGTGGCAAGAGTAGTTGCGACCGGCTGCTTTTCGTCTGATATCGATAGTGTTTGCCTGCCGCGATGCTTGCGATGGTTGTGATATTGTGATGCTGTGATGTTGTGATGACAGGTGATCACGGGACACTCTGAGAGGCGGGTTGGTTTCGGCTGCGCGGGAGAGAGCTCGGACCTTATCGCGGAAAAGTCCAAGGTACAGTGCCGGCTACGATATGTAGAGAAAACGCCGTGACAAGCCGAAATCATCATCTTCTATCCGACTTTCTCTTGCTTCATTTTTGGAGAATTTTCTCTTCTAACGAAATTACTCTGCAAGAGAAAATTCAAATTCTCTCATGTCGTATATAGTCAAATTCTCGAGGGTCGTTTAGAGCAAGGGTATTTCCAAAATTGATGTCAGGGCTCCATGAGCGCATTCAAAACCATGTGGGCGTCATGCTGAGGCAACGACAACGCATTGTTTTTCGCTCAACGCACCGTTCGATCTGTTTTTATTGTAGCGTACATTCACCGCAAAAGATACCTCGTGTGGTTACATGTTTCGGGTCCGCGACGCGCTGTGTCTACCGGTGCCCCCCCGCAAAAGGCAATGTTTTGTTCGGTTTGGACGTGAATTTCCTTTCTTTGATATCTGTGTCTGTTCATAAAAAGAAAATGCCCAAACTCATAGGGAAAGCAAGCGGTGCAGAAATTGCCGTGCGTTCCTCCTCCCACCCGGCTGATTTCCCGGTAAGCACACTTTCCAGTCTCATTTCCATCTCAGAAAATGTCTCTCATACAGGTTTGCTTTGCTTCTCTCGACCCCTGATTGCTCATCCAAGCGAGCCTGGCCTTGTGAAGATCATAGGAAACGTCGGGCTGCCGCATTTCTCAGCAACATCCTCGAGCTCACATAAATTATCTGGAAGTACATGTTGATATATTTGTCAGGGGTCGGTTTAAGATGATTCCTGAGGAACAAGGCAATTTCTCTTTTATCGGTTTTTGCCGTCACAAGCCAAATCATTCCTCATGCCGTTGTGGTTCCCTGCGAGGTTTTGCCGATGTCTTGCCTCAGCCGATCGTATGCTACCAAGCAGGGTGGTATTATAGTGGATAAGAGTTTGGGGATGAGTGCAGTGCATTAGAGGAAGAGAGGGTGCTGTTGTGAACCCTTTGTGGCCAAAGGAAGGCGCGCATGCAGAGGAATTGTCGTCTGTGTGGCCCCTTTCTCTGGAATCAGAGAGGCGAGAGATGACTAATGGTCATGGTTTCTGTTGGGTGGAAGCGTGTTTGCGATGGGTATGTACAAGAATGACGTGGCAAAAAAAAATGGTTCAGAGATGAAACGTCTGCGTCTCAAGCGCGCGCTCAACTTTGTTTTTGCGCGTAAAGGTTTTGGTGAAGGACGTCGGGCTGGAGTGAGTGGAGATAGGTGTGTAGCTTTGTCCAGTGCCCGCTCTGTTGAACTCTGGCATGGCACAGCTGCCTGTATGCCCCCATAGAAACGACACAGCGTTAAATGCTTGATTGTGTGCCGATTTCAATCAGCTTGATCGTCGTGTGTTGTTAATGGATGGACAGCATGTGTTGTAGCGCTTCTAGCGTACTTGAAAATGTCGATGTTTCACAATTTTTGTTTTATGAAGTATTGGTGTTGGAAATGAAACCGGAGCTACAGTACCTAAATATCCTTTGCCTAAGAATCCCCCCCTCCTCCCCCCACGAACGACTTCGGCATGCACAACTATGATAACACCCCCCCTCCCCCCACTTTTTGTTTATTCAGGTGGCTTTGGACTGCGGGCTGAACGTGATCATGTGCATCGGGGAGAGCCTTGCAGTGCGGGAGGCCAACCAAACCCTCGAGGTGCCCACGTCTCAGTTGTCTGTGTGTTTGTACGTTGTCGACAGCATGCCATATGCTCTGCCCTCGAGTGCGTTTGTTTTCTCTTGTGTCACTTTTTGTGCACCTTTTCTCATGTTCTATTTTGCTATGTCAGACAACATGCCGTATGCTGCAGTTGCTCTCAAGCGTTTTCATTCGCTCCGAAGTACCTTCCGATGCGTTGCTTGTAGACCACACAGATAAGCGTTTTAAGAGCCAGTATACCATGAGCCCCCCCCACCTTTCCCACCATTCGTTACCCGTTGCGTGTTGTTGGTCTTACGTTGGGTGTGTGCAAAGTGTCGAGTCGTCCTCTCGGTTCCCCTGTTGTACCGTGGCTTGAAACGGGTGTGTTTGTGTTCATGACCAGCTTTCTCCGTCCTTTGTCCTCCTATTCTGCGGCTCTTGACGACGATTCAATTTAACGTCACTCAAGTCTTACTCAGAGTGAACTGAAATTAAAACAGTGTGTTGATGTCCCACAGGACGAAAGGGGCGGCGACCGCAGTTCATGAGTTGGTCTCGAAAACGAATTGTGCCGTGTTTGTCGCTGTTCGTGTCGCACCTTTCCCTGTGTGCCTGTGGTGTTGGATTGGATCGATCATGTTTTCGATTGTTGGTTGTTCAATCGTTTGATTGTTTTTGCAGGTTGGTGCCGGAAGACCACACGGCGATCTCTTTTTCCAGTCGTGTTTGATTTGTCCCTCGTTCGATTGTTCATCTTTTTTTTTATTTTTTTGTTGTTCGTTTGTTTACTCGGTTAATCGGTTTTGATTGATGGTTTGCAGCTGGTGCTGGAAGACCACATGGCGGCCTTCTTGAAGACCCTCGAGGAGGCGGACTGGTCCCGGGTAGTAGTAGCGTACGAGCCAGTCTGGGCCATCGGCACCGGCGTTACCGCATCCCCCGCACAGGTGTGTTTGTGTGTCGTATTAATGTACATTTTGAGCATGTTTCATTTGTCAGCATAGAAGCAACTTCAATTATTTTTATTTTTTTTCGGGCCGGCGTGGGTGTGTTTTGGTGTGATTGTTGTTTACCATCGACCGCGCTGCTTAATTGCTAACCAACAACGATACGTTAGCCCTAAGAATTGGGTGCGTGTTTCATTGATTGTCATGTATCAATGGCATTTTGGCGTTGCATCGAACGAATGAGAAGTGAGCCTCAGCGGGTAATTGGAAATATATCTCCCTGGAGAGGGCGAAATTCTGAAAGTGACCGTTACCGTTGAGGTGGGATTTTGAGCGAACCTCTTATGCATGCACTTATGTAGTGTCTCTCGCCCATCGGCTATGGTAAAACTGGTGTACACAGAGCTCTCGGCCCTCATGTCTCCTTCCGCTGGTGGGACCATCTACAGTAGGTGTCCCGATATATTGCCGGTTGATTAGTGCCCGCCATACCTATGGGCACGAGTGTCCACTCCTATACTATAAAACCGATGTGTCCCTGCTCTGAACTTTCGGTGTCCGGTATACTGTAGTGCCGGTCAAACCTCGAGGCACATACCGGCTGTATCTAGTGTTTTTCAGGCAAATCTCACTTTTTTGTGTCATTTTTGTTGTCCGTTTTCACGATTGTAGGCTCGAAACAACCAATGACGGATATAGTGGCGCTACAGCAGTAGCAGAAGACCTATTACAGTGCTGTTTGCTGCGGCTATACCTGAGTTGACACGTCGCCAAATCCGATTCTGTGCTGTGTTCGCTCGCTGGACTGGATAAACCAAACCAACCATGATCATGCGATGCCGCAGCCTGGTCGTATGATCTCCTCTCCGATTTTAGTGCGCTGGTAGATATCGTTCATGAGAACATTGAACCAAATGAACCAAAGGAAATCCGTTTGACGGTTTCGTTCCCCACAGGCACAAGAGGTGCACTCGGCAATCCGCGCATGGGTCGGCGAGAAGGTTTCCCCCGCCGTCGCAGAGGTGAGACAAGATAGGCCAGGAAAGATGCGACCTTCTCGGATGGATCGTGTACAATAGTGTTGTTCGTCAGATCTGATCGACTGGTGTCGAGTAGTTTTGGGTCTCCGAATCCTTGTCTACTACACCGAAGAACAAGTACGCTTTTCTCTTTGCTGCGTTTTTTCTTCGATATTTGGTATATTTTTCGTGCAACCGCGGAGGGAATACGCTACTGTACCTGTCCGCTTCTTTCCCCGCGTGCCTGTCGATCTCTACAGTAGTCGGATTTCTGTGTCATACGATCTTTGACGTTGTTGATTTTGTAATTGGCTCTTGTTGCGGTTCGGCTCGACCACAGTCTCTCCGCATCATCTACGGGGGCTCTGTGAAGTCTTCCAACGCGGCAGAACTGGCAACGTGCCCAGACATCGATGGCTTCCTTGTGGGCGGCGCCAGCCTTAAGGTGCGGAAGGGGATATGAGAGTGCCGTTGGCCAGCGCTCTAACTAAATGGATGCTTCCAACGAAATTGTCATATGCGACGTTACCGCACTATCGCAGGCACCGCAGCAGGAAAAGTAGATACATTCCTCTTGTGTGAACCCGGCTGGTGCGGCAACCACACACCGAATGAAATCGGATAGGATCTTCACGCACGCAATCATGAAAGAAACTTGGTGTTCGTTGTACATTCTACATTCTAGTTGAGAAAGAAACTGCCAGTTTGTTTTGTTTGAAGCTTTAGAACGAGAGGCGTCAGGCGGCTGTCGTTCTACAATTATTCCTCTCTCTGAGTAACTGACATTGTCGGACCCAAACACTGACCTACCCAACAAATTTCCTCGCCCACCCCCAACCTCCCTGTTGTGGTTCTCGATTCTGCTGGACCCCCTTTCAGCCCGACTTCGTGGACATCATCAAGGCTGTTGAGGGAAAGTAAAACCCGTCGCCACGGAGTATCTTGCTCACGTCCACCCGCTGTAACCATTGGCCCGTTCGTTGGTCGAGTAGATGTTGTTCCGGGCCAGTGGGCTCCGGAATCTTCTTGCCCGGTTTATGGTTCGTGACGGAGAGGATTGGGCATCCCGGCAACCGGTTAGGAGCCTTGGTTGGCCGGTTTGAATCGATTTGTTTGGGTTGTCCTTGCGTACTGTAATAGTTTAGTCTGTCCGGGGACGACAACGCCGTTGTTGTCACCTGTTTTTTTTTTTTTTTGAAGTGTTTTCGGTCGGGGGGCCGGCCGTTCGTTGTTGCTCGCGGGGTTCGCCGCAGGCGCAGGTGGTTCGCCCCCCTGATCGACCGACCTCTTTGATTGGTGTTGTGGGTTGGATTGGATTGTGTCGAACGTATACGCCTGTTTAATCGCGAGCCAGAATGTGGACTGTTGAATGGCTCTGGAGAGACTTGTCATCAGCATGCCGTAAGCTGTAGCGGTCCTACCTTCGCTGTGAAGTGTTTAGGGAAAGGGCGGTGGGCGAACGCGTTGTCACAGCGAACCGTTGATCTGTGGGAGTTTCGCGCGGTGGGATAGATGTCTGTTGATCAGCGGTCGCTATGATACGTCTCACGCATAGGATTGGCTTTCTCTGTAGGTGGTACAGGTTAAAAGCTGATGATGCGGTTGATTGCCGGAAGCTGCACGGTTCATGCGTGTGCCATGGTCGACACTCCCCCTTGCTGATGGTGGCCGTTGGCACATACCAGGTACTTCTTATCGAAGAGCCGCAACAGGCAAAAAATGGTACGATGGAGGCTGTGGGTGGGGGTGAAATCTCTTTTGTCTCCTCTTTCCTTCACGTGACCATGGTTTTACTTTGTGTTGTCGTTCTGGGGTAGAAATCGTGTCACATGGGAAGTAACGGCTGTCACGCGGGCACCTGTTCTCGTATCACGCGGCGACGGACAGAATAGGGCAGAATCACACAAGTAGGATAACCTGGTGTATCGCCAGGGGCGTCGTTTTCATAGCAGCCCTGCTGTGCACACCCTGTGCATTCTGTTGGCTGTTTCAATACGGAAACCCCGTGCCATGCTTGTTCTGGCAGCAGGGCGGTCGCGCGACTCGACAATCCAGACTAGAGTTGGTTTTGGTGCTTCATACCATACGTATTCTTGGGTGTTCCCTGCTGCCGTAACCCCGCAATTGCTGTTAGTGCCCCGTCAGTTGAAGCTGAGAACGCGGTGCCGCTCAATCCTTAAGACGACTAAAACCAACCTGTGCCTGTCACTCTCCAGGCCGACGTACGTTTGGGCGAACTACCCGTGTCCTGGAACGGGGTTCCGCCACGAACAGGGTGCTGAGGTCGCCGTTTTTGCTGACGCGTCTGTGCTCTAACAGTAGATATCTTCACGCGTTGTGGAGATTTGGTAGGCATGTCTGCATGTTAGTTGGCTCCTACGTTGACCGCGACACCGTGTATACCGATGCGGATGGTGTGTCGATATCTTGGTTGTCTCTCTCCCGAGGTTAATTGACCAGTTGCTCGACGTCACGTTGCGCGTTCGAATCGTAAGCAGCGGAGACGGGGAAAGAATCACCTCAACGCAAAAGTAAACTCTCAAACGGTGCCGGCCGACAGTACAGCAGATTTGGTGCTGGTCTCTGCGCCACTTTGCGAGTGTGCGCACTCAAGCGTGCCGTTAACCTTCGACACACAGCATTTCTGTGCCACTGCGGTATCGGCGAGCTCTCCTTTGCACCAGGGAATTGTCGATTACTCCACCGAGGCGTCGAAAATACAAGATACAATACAAAACATGTCGTGTCATGTGATGGTCTGAACGGCGGGCAGCGGCTGGCACTGCTCCATGAGGGCAGAAGACAAGCATCCATCATGGATGGACTCGTCGGCGGCTCTCTGACCAAAGACATCCCCGCGCTTGGAATAATATCCAAATGGAGATACAGCAATCCTGCGAGAGATTGGTCAGACGTGGTGGGCGTGTTGGGGTTGTACCGTTGCTCATGGTGAATGGAATCATGATCCTTCTCCCCCCGGCCTCTCTTTCAGCTCCAAATCCAGTTTCGTATCCAAGTTGATGCGTGCGAGAGGGCCAGCGACGTCATTTGGTGCATGGTCTCGGCAAAAACAACTCTAATAGCATGCTGCGGCGCATTTCTCTCTCCCGGTACCCTTTCCACCGCGAGTCCCTTTTACCCTGTAATGTTCACCTAATATTTGGAGTAATCCATCTCGTCACGTTGATGGCATCGTGTGAAATCTTCACACCACAAAAATCAACCGGTATGTTGCATATGTTCTTTACCGGTCTTCGTTGCCATAATCTGCTTTTTACGGAATCGTACGTTCTTGCATGCAGACCTTGATTCCACGGCAATTCGGCTCTTTCATTTCTACAATAATAGTGGTCGCACAGAGAGATCACCATATGACTTGCATACGTCAAAACAATCGCAAAACGACGAACATTCTCCGAAGGCGACATACAGCAGTGTGCGTTCCAGACATTTCCAGAATGTAGTCTACCAGACTGACCTCCTAGACTACCAACTTCCCGCACACACCAACGTACACACGACCGTCTACGGCACTGTCAACAGCCTGATATGACCGCTAAAATACTCACATCATCGTGTCGCTTGGGTCGCGATCAAAGCTCAACTGGACACGTTAAAAATGTTTCAGCCCTCAAACGCTTGGTTGCTGGGTGGTGTGCGAAATACACAGTGAAGAATAGCTCCCCTGAACAGGGCTTCGGAAACATCTATACACAAAATCGACCTCCAAACAACCCCTCTTTCAAGATCATGGTTACACACGTAAGACCTTGGCATGCCTTGAGTGAAGATGAACATTGACTAAACCGGAATTCGAAACGCCACTGCTAACTGTGATAAGACTGAAGAACTCCTAGAACAACAAGGACAGCCCTACCCCCCCCTGTCGTGTCTTATACCTCCATGAAAACACCCCAGGGATCTCAGATCACACACCAACTCAAGCTCGGGGTTGAGGTACGTAGAAACATTTCACTCCGTGTTCCGGAGAAGTGGGGGATATCTCACACCGAACTTCATCGGTAGCTTTTGTCTACACTCGATAGCCAAGGAGGGTGCCGTTGCGGCGTTGGATTGACCTCGTCGAGAGCCTTCCTCGCTCGCATCGACCGGTTTTCGCACCCGTCGAGCAATCAAGCTCTGAAAGTCAGCCTAGGGTGTGTGCGATCACTCTCACTATTCAAGTACTTGCTGCTTTTGTCGCTGTGTTTGTGTTCGTCAGGTCTCCTTCTTTTCTCGTCGTGGAACAATGATCCCCACCGCGATTGGTCGAAGACGGCGCAACCTTAACCCCATCCTCCTGTCGAGTGTTCCGACAGTTTTGCGAATTGGACGTCGATCGCCCCGACGTGGCCGGTGCTTTGATCCGGTACCTTTCTGAAGAGATAACCGCGAATCAAGCAAAAGTTTTCCACCGCTGGCAAAAGACGCGCCTGTTTACGTGTTTCAAGTGCGGCAGTGCGTGCACGCACGGCCGGGTGGAGGGGGGCGTGTTCATGCCCGCACTCATCAGCGAATGCTGTTCGGTGTCGAAGCACTCGGGAGGTGTTCCGGATGGACAACATACCGGAGTACAGCATCACCACTTGAGAAATTGGTAATGCAGAAAGTGAGCTGAATAAAACTCGAACAGTACGAACATAAACTACGGACGGGTGCAAAGTCAACAATCCTGGACTGCAACCAATGTCGTTGATGTTGGGAGACCCCACCGGAAATCACAAGCGAGGCGCGGGAGTTTATGGACGGGCACGTTCTGTACTGTTCGTAGATAGGGCGGGGCAACGACGGCGGACAAGGGTGTACTAAATTACTGAAGCAAACTGGGTACGGAAGCAGTACAGGACTTGACTCGGTCCTCCCGCCTCGCCATTAGTTCGATGTCTGTGGATAACACACAACACCTTCGTGAATAATCTGCCGGATTTTGGTCATTATCCCAACGCTCGATGGGCCCGATTCACACCTGTCCCTCATGTCTATGCGACGGTGTATCACGCATGCCTGCATATTTTCAAGAGATGAGGTCGACACGCTAGTTCTGAATCAGCTTGTGCAACACGCAAGAGACCAAAACGCTTTCGCCCTCCGCCGTCCGAGACGCACGTGCAGATTTGTCCTCGAAAAATAGCAAGCAACCAAGCGAAGGCAGACACTCGCGACCACCGGCAGAAAACCACGTGCTGCAAGAAGCGCACGATTCGCCTTCCGACTTCGACCGGAGAGATCCCTCTCATCAGTGACACAAGCCTGGTGTTTACCTTGTTGGTGGGTCCCTTGCTGTGATGTCCCGTGCCGGTCAAGACTCTGACGCTGCACAGTCCCCTCTCCGCCAACGCTCCCATCTCCCTGTCCAGCACCTCGACGGCCTCAGCCACGTGCAGGCCGTGAAGATCCAACGTTTTGCGCTGGAACACCTGTGGCACAAAACAGGCGGCCGTCGTCGATCTCCACAGAGAAAAAATCAAGTTTCCTGGTTTCGGCACTAGTCGCAGCATGAAGTCACGCCCATGTTACGGGGAACGCCTAAAATGTTTTACGTATTGCCCAGAATGCGGAACCACTTTGGTGTGTACTCTGTACTGTTTTAGTCCTGCGCCAGCAGGATTGTGATAAATATGTCATTCACTTGGTTCATCCCGCACATCACGCATGCTAATGGCTGTGGTGACACGTGACGTGAAGCAGGCCGTACAGGACGGGACGACCAGCAGATGTAATCGCGGCAGAAAACTTGTGTGCGTTTGTCTTGTATTTCCTGCGAAGGTTTTTATGGTTCGGAATGCCTCCCCACGAAAAAGAGCCAGTCGCGGCGATTCTAGGTGTTGGGCACAGTGCCACGGATGCCTGGCGGTCCTCGATCATTCGCGGTAGTGCCCCCATGGACCTCCTGCCAGCCTCTCAGAAGGAAGGATGAGAAAAGGATCGCGCGGCAGCCACCAGAGCAAGGTGTGCCCGAGCACCAACGACTTCGCAATGGCGCTAATAATACACAGGCTGTGTCGATGACATACCGACTGGGTGTGTGTCAATGAAGCACTACAATTTGAGTCATGGGCATTGGCAGTCTCGAATACCCAAGGCACGGCTCGTTCAATTACAGACCACGAACTAGCTGATCGTGACCGTGGAAGTTTCGGCCGCCCCAATATCTATGCTGCACCACGCACGCCTTTCTTGCGTGTGTGATCTGATGTGCCCCTCCGCTTACTGAAAAATCTGTTTGTTCCTTTTTCACACACATGTGCTTGTTACGAGTGCCGCACAATGTTGAAAGGAACACGATCGCATCCGCGCAACAATCAAGTCCTTGTGTTGATGACTGTTTCAACGCGCTTGTTTGGCGTTCTTGGTCGGTCGCCTTGTCATGAAGGCACTTGGTGTGATATTCAGCGTCGCTCATGCCGAGAATCAGCCGGTGTCGAGCATGGTTAGCGTTGAGCATCAGTTGACGCCTAGTATCGATGACGTCGAACATGTCGAGCACCAGTTGATTTCGAGCATATTTGACGTCTAGCATTGTTCAACGTCGACTATTGCTGACGCCAAACATCAGCTGATGTCGACCATGGTAGAGGTCGAGCACGAGTGACGTCGAGCATTGTTCATGTCCATGATGAAGCGTCGTGTATCAGGTTATTTCGAGCATCGTTAATGTCGAGAATAGTTGACGGCGAGCACTGTTGATGTCGAGGGTAGCTGATGTCGAGCATCGTTGACGTCTTGACGTCGAGTGTCTTTGACGTTGATCATCGTGGAGGTTGAGCTTTGTTGGCGTCGATCATCTTGGCATCGAGCATTGGTGGCGTCGAAGATCGTTGAGGGTGAGGATCATTGGCGTCGAGGGTCGTTGAGAATGTTTGAGCATCGTTGACAGCAATCATCGAATTTGAGCATCGTTCATAGAAATCATCGCTGAGCACCGATAGCCATTGTTGGCGTTGAGGATCCTTGAGGGTGGGGATCGTTAACGCCGAGGATCGTCAACGATCGTTAAGGGTGAGGGTCGCTTGAGTCAAGGATCGTTGCGTCGAGGATCGTTGCAACATTGATCACAATTAAGAGTGAGCATCGTTGGCGTCGAGGATCGTTTAGCATGTTTGAGCATCATTGACAGTAAGCACCGTTGTGCGCAGGTAAGCATCGTTAGCGTCGAGGATCGTTGGGGGTGAGGATAACTAAGGGTGAGGGTTGTTGGGGTAGGGGTCCTTGACGCCGTGGTTCGTCGGCGTCGATGATCGACGTAAACGGTCCCCACCTTCAACGATCGTCGAGGACCGTTGACGAGGATCGTTGACGCGGAGGATCGTTGAGGGTTAGTATCGCTGGCGTCGAGGATCGTTGAGGGTCGTTAAGCGTGACGATCGTAGTAGCCGGCGATCGTTGAAGCCGAGGATCGTTGACGCCGAGTTTCGTTGGCCTCGAGTATCGGCGTAAACGATCCCAACCTTCAATGAGGATCGTTGACGCGGAGGATCGTTGAAGGTGAGGATCGTTGAGGGTAAGTATCGTTGGCGTCAAGGATCATTGAGCATCTTTAAGGGTGAGGATAGTTGTCGCTGGGGGTCCGGATCGTTTACGCCGAGGATCGTGGACGCCAAGGATCATTGGCGTCGAGGATCGGGCTCAATGATCCTCACGTTCAATGATCCTCGAGGATCATTGAACGTGAGGATCATTGAACGTGAGGATCGTTGAGGGTGACGATCGTTGTAGCCGGTGATCGTTGACGCCGAGGTTGGCTGGCGTCGAGGATCGGATCGTCGAGGATCGTTGACGAGGATCGTTGACGGGGATCGTTGAGGGTGAGTATCGTTGGCATCGAGGATCATCAAGAACCTTTACAGGTGAGGGTTGTTGTCGCCGGGGATCGATGACGTCGAGGATCGGCGTCAACGATCCTCACTCTCAACGATCCTCGAGGGTCGTTGGCGAAAGTCGTTGAGGGTAAGGATCGTGGAGGGTGAGGATTGTTGAGGGTGAGGACCGTTGTCGCCGGGGATCGTTGACGCAAAGGATCGTTGACGCCAAGGGCGTCGACGCCAACGATGCTCACCCTCAACGATCGAGGCGGAGCATGGTCGAAGGTGAGAATTGTTGAGGGTGAGTATCGTCGGCGTTGAGGATCGTTCTTCATCTTTGAGGGTACGGATGATTGTCACCGGGGATCGTTGATGCCGAGGATCGTTGACGCTGGAGATCGTTGGCATCGAGGGGTCAACGATCCTCGCCCTCAACGATCCTCGAGGATCTTCAGCGCCGAGAATCGTTGAGGGTGAGGATCGTTGACGTCGAGCATTGTCGATATCGAGTATCATTGTGGATCGGGCATCGTTATTGCCGAGGATCGTTGGTATC